ACTGGCTAATTATACGTAAGCTTTCCTGGCTTGAGAATCATGAACTTTCTTGCCTGAATACCTGGGCCTTCCGGGATAACAATATTTGACTTTGGATCAGTATCTCTCACCATGCTAGCAGACTATATCAATTCTTTACTCTTAAGACCTTGGGTTGTCCTCGCCAAGGGCAGCAGACATCCCTGACTACTTTTCTGGGACTTCTAGAATAAAAATAGAAGAATTCTTCTATGATTTCACCATTACATGTGATATTGACTGATGGTTTATGATGTATATTCTTTTTTTAGAATTCTAAGACTCAAAGTTATGAATGAATAGTAATTTTTATCAAATTATGATAATCATGATGATGATGGTGACAGCTAGAATGTACTACTAGCTGACGATGAGCCAAAAGCTAAAAAAAAAAGCCCTTATGGTGTTCATGTATTTCAATGCATTATTTTACCTAATTTAAAATTTTTGAATTGTAAAGTACACATAACATAAAATTTACCATCTTAATCATTTTTATTTTATTTCTTTATGTTTGGCTGCATTGGGTCTTCATTGCTGCATGTGGGCTTTCCCTAGTTGCGGCGAACGGGGGCTACTCTTCATTGTGGTGCGCAGGCTTCTCATGGCGGTGGCTTCTCTTGTTGCGGAGCATGGGCTCTAGAGTGCAGGCTCAGTAGTCGTGGTGCACAGGCTTAGTTGCTCCGCGGCACGTGGGGTCTCCCTGGACCAGTGCTCGAACCCGTGTCCCCTGCATTGGCAGGCGGATTCTTAACCACTGCACCACCAGCAAAGCCCCAGTCATTTTTAAATACTCAGTTCAGTAGTGTCAGGTACATTCACATCATTGTACAATCAATCCCCAGAACTCTTTTCATCTTTCAAGCTGAAACGCTGTACCTATTAAACACTAACTCCCTATTCCCCACTATCTCCAGCCCCTGACCACCACCATTCTACTTTCTGTCTCTGAATCTGACTACTCTGGGTACCTCATATAAGTGGAATCATGTAGTATTTGTCCTTTTATAACTGGCTTATTTTACTTAACGTAATATTATTCAGGTTCATCCATGTTGTAGCATTTGTCAGAATTCCCTCCCTTTTTAAGGCTGAATAACATTCCATTGTATGTAGAGACCACATTTTGTTTATCTGTTCATCCATCAATGGACGGTTGAGTAGCTTGTACCTTCTGGCTATCGTGAATAGTACTGCCATGCACATGGGTGGACAAATATCCCTTTAAGACCCTGCGTTCATTTGTTTCGAGGATACGTGGAATTGTTGGATCCTATGGCAATTCTGTTTTTAATTTTTTGAGCAACCACCATCCTATTTTCCATAGTGGCAACATTTTGCATGTTTTATCTACTTTGAAGTTGAAAACTTGGGGTTCAGAAGGATTAAGTAGCTTGCTAATGTGTAAAACGTGGTAGAGAAAAATTTCAAGTATGTCTATTGAATTCGTTTCCTAGGGCTGCCATAAGAAATTACCGCAAACTGGGTGGCTTAAAAGAGAAATTTATTCTCTCACTATTCTGGAGGTTAGAAGTCTGAAATCAACATGTCAGCAGGGCCATGCTCCCTCTAAAACTCTGGGTGGGAGTCTTCCTTTTCCTAGTGCTTGGTGGTGTCCATCAATCCTGCAGCTGTGTCACTCCAATCTCTGGCATTCTCCTGGGGTGTCTTTCTCCTCACTTATAAGGACACCAGTCATGTTGGATTAATGGTCCTTCCTCCTGCAACATGACCTCATCTTAACTTACATCTTAGTTACATCTGCAAATACTATTTCCACATCAGGTCACATTCCCAGGTACCAGGTGTTAGGACTTCAACATAACACCTTTTGGGGTTACATAACTTAATCCATCATATCTGTCTTCCTCCAAATTCTGTGATATTTACTATACTTTTGACCTCTTAATGTGATAAACTACTAGACTTCCCAATCGAAAGCCATGCTTGCATTTATGGGACAGAACTTCTTTGCTATTAGTGGATTATTAGACTATAAGCTTGGAGGAAGGCAGACACAATAGACTTCTTTCATTCATCCCTTTGCCTCCAGTCATTATACAAAAACAAAAAACAGTATTGGAAAAGTGGTATAGCTTTTCCAGTGCCTTTATGGGGAAAAATCATTCGAACAGTTGTTTTGGGAATTATTTAGGTGGTAGTTTTTGTTGTTCCTTTCTCAATTTCCTGCCAATCAGGCTGTTGTTGACATCTGTTGGACACACCCACCAGCATAGTGCCCCATAGAGCGGAAGCGCTTATTTACCATGTATTGAATGAATGAATAGAAGGTTCATTGGCTCAGCAGTGCCCCTGACCCCTTTTTGCTGCTACTGTTCTGTCTTGATGACCAGTGGCTCCAAGTGGCTGGTGGCTCTTCCTCCCCCTACAGCCTCCTTAAGCCCCCTGTGTCCACTCCTGAAAGAGCCTTGGTCCAGGCAGACCTAATCACCAGCCTACTCCTGCCTGGGTAGGTCCCCAACACACCCCCTTCTGGCAAAAGACCCACTTGAAACATCCATCCCTTCCGGAGCTTGCAGAGAGTGCACTGCAGTTTTGTTTTGTTTTTAACGTCTGCAGACACACTGCTGACTGACAAATAGGGACAAGTCACTGATCATGGACTGTTATCTGAATGCCAAGAGCAAAGGTTGTCGTAACACATTTATTTCAAGACCTCAGCATGCTGCCCTGTTTGCTGGAATCAGTTAGGTAGGCCAGTGTCGTAGATGGGAAAGTCATCTGAGATAAGCACGCAGTGCCTCGTGCAATGCCAACTCCCCACCCCCACCCCCAGTGATGGAATCCCTTAATAACTGGCCATTTAGGATAAGTTAAGGAAAAGACTTGGGCATTTAGCCAGGAGTGTTAGTGACAGAAACTTAACTTATGCTAAAAAAAAAAAAAAGAATTACATTCTTAGAAAGCTTATGTAACTGAACAAAAGGAAAGGCAGAGGTGGAACTGGGCTTCCAAGATGACAAACACCAGGGACTGAAATTCCACCAGTACTCTCTGTCCTGCATCTCCCCCTCTCTGTGTGTGTGGATTTCTGGCTTCACATTTACTCCGTTTCTTGTATATGGGGTGGGGGAGACATATGCTACATTTGCCCTGAAGTACATCTCCATACATCTTCCACTGTAGGTAGGCAGGATTGCCACATATGGTTGTGCAGGTTGTGTACTGCCCAACTCACGGATGTGCCATTCACATCATAGACTCTGGCTGAAAAGCAGAGATGTTAGGGATACTTGGCTGAACATAGAAAACACTTGATGTTTTCCTAGCACATCCTTCTCTCGTCCAGCAGAGTCACCCTACGTTCTACCATCCTGAAGGGAGGGGTTCAAAAATCTCCATTCTAATCCTTAAATGGTGGGCCCTTCTAATGAAGACTCTTGGGAATATCTTTAAAGGGCAACACTTTGGGGGAATTTTCCCACAAGCTTCATGAGGACAAACAACTAAGCCCGTGAGCCACAACTACTGAGCCTGCGTGCTGCAACTACTGAAGCCTGCACGCTGCAACTACTGAAGCCTGCGCGCCTAGAGCCTGTACTCTGCAACGAAAGAAGCCACCACAATGAGAAGCCCACACACTGCAATGAAGAATAGCCCCTGCTCGCCACAACTAGAGAAAGCCCGCACACAGCAACGAAGATCCAATGCAGCCAAAAAAATAAATCGATAAAATAAATTAATTAAAAATAATAATAATAAATAAATAAATTTATATTAGAAAAAGACACCTGGGTATGATGTTTTCTTTGTGGGAAGATTAACTGATTCAATTTTTTTAAGTGTTATGAAATTATTTAGGTTTTCTATTTTTCCTTAAGGCAATTCTGTTAAATATATTCCAGGAATGCGTTCATTTTACCTAAATTTAAAATTTTATGGGCAAAAAGTCAAACATATTGTTCTCTAGCTTTTTACCCTCTGCTGACTGTACACAGCCCCTTTTCCCATTCCTAAAGTTGTTTGGCTATGTTGCTCTAAATATGGTTAGGCTCATTTTCTGCCATTTTGGTTTCTACTCATTGTTTTATTGATTTTACTTTATTTGAATCATTTCAATTGTCCTTTTCCTCATTTTTTTAAGCCCTCAGAAAACAAGAGCAAACTGAGACACATGGACTTTTTCTTACATTTCAGAATCAAGTGAGTGCCTCTCCCATTGCAACAATGAGAATTTCTTTCTTCTCTTGTAACATTTAAAGATTCATCTATTACAGGCCATGCAATGAGATGCTCTATCCAGTTTCTAACTTGTTCACATCCAAACACATGTATCCACTCCCCCATCCCTTCCACCACATCAGCTTGTGCGTCTTCCTTTTCCTCCCTTTTCTGAACATCTTCCCATTCCCCCTTTCTGTTTGAGTCCTTCAAAACCCTGCTAAGGTACACCGCCTACAAGAAACCACCTTAGTTTGTAAATTGAAGTATGACTCCACTCATAGCTCCACAACTAGCCTCCAAGCTCCTTTAGGATCCCTTCTCTCACACTTGAGATACGTAATTAAGGAAGAAAGTATAATTTTCCCAGCTTGGGTCTCACGCCCAAACATTTCTCAGGAGAGGGCAAGACACCATAATTGATATTCCCAACAAGACTGAATTCAACAGGAAAAGTGAATGCCACAAGAAAATCAGGGAGAAGGAGTAGACAGGTCAAAACTACAGATGTCCTAGCTATTTAATATTCAGATTGGCGGTTGGGAAGAGGAAAGGATGCTTGGAGACTTGGCAGGTCAGAGTTTCCGTTCTAATCCACAAGGGGGCGCGAAAGAACCGCTTGCGCGGGTTCCGCCCTGGGAGCTGCCGCTCTAGGCTGCATCCCGCACCTCAACTGCATTTCCGCTGGCGCTCAACCGCTGGAAGCTGCGTCTTACGGCCTAGTCGCCGGGAACCGTGCAGCATCTTCTCTCGTCGTCCCCTATGACCTGCAGCCGACAGTCCCGGCGCCCTGGGTGAGTCATTGCGAGGTCGCGCTGCCCAGGGACCCCCGGCGGCCTCCAAGGCCGGTGCTCCGTCTCCCCGCCCCCGACAGGAGGGGAAACTGAGGCCCGAGATGGGGGGAGCTCCAGCCGCAGGTCACCTCGGAGCCCTTGTTCGCTCCCTGTTCTGAGCTCGTCCCCTCCGCTGCGTGTGGACCTTTCGGGACTCGTGTCCTAGACAAAGAGGCCTCGGGTCACCGCGCCACCGGCCGGCGCCGGTTCGGAGCGTCAGGTCCCCTGGCCTCACCCGCCCCGTGGGGAGACTTGTGCCCGCTGATGTCGAGAGACAGGTCGGGTGACGTGTGGGCCCGAGGTCCTGCAGGGGGTCGTGCAGAGCCCGTGTGAACCTGGCCCGACGGGCGCCAGAACCCCTGATTCACTGCCCATCACCTCCGACTCCAGCGTTTCAGGCCCCAAAGCCGCTCGTCGGTTACCGGTCAAATACTCTGGTGAGCGTTAGCCCATTTCCCCCTAATAAGCTTTAAGGGAAAGTGTTGAAACCTCCTTTTAACAAACGGGTGTTTGAGCTTTAAAGTGAGGGCGCCCCAGTCCCTTGGGCAAGTGCTGCTCCTGAGGGCCTTGAACTGGGGGCCGTGGCCTTCCTGCCATGCGGCAGAGGGGGTGGTCCCTGGGCTCAGGGGGGTTCTGGGAACTGTCTTGCAAAGCCTTGTGCAGGAGAGTGGGGCTGGGTTTGGGGGCCAGAAAGGCCTGAGTTCAGATGCTGACGCAGCCCCTCGTTAGCCGTGGAACCTCGGGTGAGTTACTCCATTCTCCTGAGCTTTCCTTTCCTTCCAGGGGGGAAACAGCAAGCAGTCGGGAGAGCAGAGGCCTGGTCTGTGTCTTTGAACCCCCAGTGCCTGGCAAGTGGTTAGTAGGTACTTAGTTGGTATTTTGTGGGTGGAGGAGTACTTGAGGCATTTTTACGAGAAGTTGGTCTTCCTGTGGCCTCTGTTGATGAGGGGAGATGGAGTCTTTCCATGAAGTGAGGATAGTGTTGGGGTCCCGGGCTTGGCTGGGCAGCTTTCCCGTGCCTGGGCGGAGAGCCGGCTGCTGACACGGGCTCCTCTGCCTGGCTCTTCTTCTGCCCTTTGTTGCCCCTGCATTCGGAAGTGATCATGGGCTGCCCGTGCCCTGGTCCCTGGTAGTGCCGGCAGAGGAGTTGCTGAAAGCGTTTCCCCGTGTTTGGAGGGTTCACTCCTGTCCCTTCCCAACTCTGGAGCTGTCCCACTCGGCCGTCCTCCCGCCGCCTTTACACATGCTTCCTGGCCCCTGGTGTGCAGCTTACTGAGTGTTCCCTATGCGAGGCCCAGTGCTAGTTGCAGAGAAGCTTTTAAAAAAGGAAGATAAAGCATGGGCTGTGTCTAAGGAGCTGTGGGCTGGCGGTGGAGCCACCGTTCGGGTAATTTTCACCAAGGGCTTCCCTCCAGGAAGCCAGGTCTGCCTCCCCTCTCTCCCCTTTCCAGGTCCTTAGTCAAGCATGTTTCCTGGTGTGATGTAGTGTGGGAAGTGGCTTGATGTGGGATGAGGGCACTAATCATACTTCATGGAAATCGTTGGTTTTCTTGTTTTTTTGCCTCTCTGCTCTGATCTCAAGGTCAGTGTGTGAGTTTTGCCTCTCCGCAGCCCCAGTGCCTGGCAGGTGTCCGGTGCTCAGCAACTGTGCAACAACTGCCCAGCAGGAAAGAAGGAAAGGACAGACGCATCCCGGTGAGGTGGCGTGGCCCATCATGTCATGGAGAATCAGGGGAAGACTGCTTGTGACCCAGCCAGGGGAGAGGTGGGGGCACTTCCTGTGTTTCCTTTTCTTGGAATTGTTCTTCCTATTGACCAGTATTTATCCCTTGGAGGTCCCTTGGCATGAGATGGAGCCCAGTCCACCAGGGGAGACTTTCCCCATGGCCTGCGGTTATGGTGGCAGGAACCAGAGCAGTATTGCACTTGGACAAGGCTTCAATAGACACCAGACCTCACCTCCGCAGGCAGCCTGAGGTGCCTTTACCCCTCCTACCCCACCCCCGGGTCAAGGCCAGACCAGACCAGGCACGGCCTGTCAGGTGCTGCACGCTCCCAGACCTGTCCTGGACTTTTATCCTGTTCAAGATCCAGCTTCCAGAAACTGTACAGTGTCATTAGAGTTTGCACAAAAGATGATCTGAAAAGGCCTCTGCCTCAGATGCAGATGAGCTGTTGTCCCATGTGGAGTTATAACTTCCGTCCTGTTCATGAGTGGTGGCGTGGCTCGTGGGTGGTAACAGCAGCCCATGCTTGTGAAGTGGCCGCTATGCACGTACTCGGCCTGGGCTTCCCAGGACGTGCTGTGGCCAGGTGGGATCTAGGTCACTCATCCAGGGCTTCTCGACTGTTGCAGAGGAGACCCTGGAGATGTGTCCCCATCCTGTCAAGAAGCGGCTGGACCACGTGCTGCTGAGGTGAGCTCTGTTCCCTGGAGATCTGGGGCTTTGCCTCCCTCAAGGTACAGGCAGGTCCCGCGTGGTCCTGGAAGCAGCTAGAGGAGAGACGAGAGTGGCTTCGACCCGGCCCTCAGCGTTACCCTGTCTGGGGCCTTTGGGAACACACCTGGTTCCTCTTTACGTGCTTGTTTCTGAGAGCCCCTGGGGAGCCCTTCCTCAGACTGTTTGTAATGTTGGCGGCAGAATGTGTGAACGGAGGCAGGGAAAGGATTTCGGTATGCCCACCTGTACCCAGGTGTCTGTCACTTCTCTGCCTCCTCCTAACTTTGGGACCTTCTCTTATTGCTGGTTTCATCCTCCATAAAGCAGGACTACAATGAGGCCATTTGTCCTCAGATCACCTAGTCCCTGTCTTTTACAACCTAAGAACTCTGTCACTTTTCTTTCAGAGGTGTTCTCCCTTTGTCTCTCCCTTCTGGGCCACGTGGAAGGCTTTTTTGCAGGATTAGAAGCAAATACTGGGTCCTTGTGCTCTGTTAGGCCGACTGCTCCAGGCCTCTGCCGTTGGCCTCGCTTTTCAGCAAGCCCTCTGTCCTTTCCTGCCCCTGCACTTGGAAGTGATCACGGGCTGCCTGGGGCCTGCATTTTGGTAGTGCAGGCAGAGGAAACATGGTAGGGTTGTCCTGCATTTGGAGGGTTGACATCCTCACCCTGCAGTTCCGGGAGCTTTCCCACACACTCCTGCTTCTTCCGTGCCACACCTCAGGCCTCCAGGGCCTTGGGGTCTATCATGCGTGCATTAGTGTCGTCGTTGGGGCATTCGCTTCCTGCCCCTGCTGTTGGGAACCAGGCCCTGTGTGCTGCTTAAGTTCCCCTTGATGCCCAGTTGCTATCAGTCGGCCATGGCACGTTCCCTAAACCTGGCAATGGCGTCCTTTTCCGCCTTCACTGGTCAATTACACATTGGTCAGCGTTGGCCACCCTGCCATAGGCCATCCACTGTCTCCCTTTTTAGAGTTAACTACTGTTTTTTAATGAGGAAATAGTGTGTCTGTTCAGGAAATAATAACAGCCAACATCTGCAGAACGTTTACTGTCTGGTAACTCTTGCACTAAGTCCTTTCCTGGTGCCTGACGTGCTCTGCTGTGAGCAGGGACGAGGCGGGTGCTCATCCGTGGCTTCTTGTCTGTTGCAGATGCGTCCACTGTGTGCAGAGGTGTCATGGAAGTTGTCATCAGGAGTGGTCTAGACCCCAGTGTCCTTGAGGTAAGATCTCTGGTCCATTCTCTGGAGTGTTGGGTCCTCTGATCCGGTAGTCGTGTGTGTGTGTTCCCAGGGGCTTTGGGTGAAGATGTAGGGGAGCCGAGAGGTGAGCTGAAGGCAGCATCCACGAGTCCCCAGGCCTGCTCACCACCCCAGCTCTGGGCATCCTGGACCACATCTGGCCCTTCACTGTCTGCAGTGGCTGCTGCAGGGGTGGAGCCTCTAGAGTTCCACTGGGGCAGTGAGAGTTGTGGGGTATCTGTCCTTCCCTGGAGTGTGGGCAGAAGGATGTTGTGATGGAAAATGGGTGGACCTGGGCATCAGAGATTCCTCCCCTGGCTTTGAATCCCCTTCTGCTGCTGGTTTAGTCAGTGTCCTGTTCAGAACCTTGTTTTCTTCATTTGAAAAACCAAAGCTGTGTTAGAGGTGACTTTGTGGTTCTTAAGACCACATGATTTCTGTAATTTCCAACTGCAATATTTTCCCATTTTTGTCCAAAGTGACTTCTCTTTTTTTTTTTTGAGTGGATTTTTTACTGTGCTTTTTTTTTTTTAATTTATTTTTGGCTGTGTTGGGTCTTTGTTGCTGTGTGCGGGCTTCCTCTAGTTGCAGTGAGCAGGGGCTACCCTTCGTTGTGGTGCGCAGGCTTCTTCTTGTCGTGGCTTCTCTTGTTGCGGAGCATGGGCTCTAGGCGCACACGCTTCAGTAGTTGTGGGTTGTGGGCTCTAGAGCGCAGGCTCAGTAGTTGTGGCACATGGGCTTAGTTGCTCCGTGGCATGTGGGATCTTCCCCGGCCAGCGCTCAAACCTGTGTCCCTTGCATTGACAGGCAGATTCTTAACCACTGCGCCACCAGGGAAGCCCCAAAGTGACTTTTCTTTGATTCCCCTTGGGAGAAGGTTCGTGTTGGGCTTTTGCAGGAAAGAATGGCCGCTCCGTGGGTCCTGTGCTTGGCTGGGTGGTTTTCCCAGACTCAGTCTACCGTATAGGCCACTGGCACTCCCTTCTCTTCCTGGAGCTCTCTCTGCCTTGTACGCACCTGCATTCAAAAGGTGGCCATGGGCTGTCTGTGCTCTGGTCGTTGATAATGCAGGGAGAGGAATTGTGGAAAGCAATTTCCCGTGTTTGGAGGGTCCACACCTGTCCCTTTCAAATGCTGGCGCTTTCACACACTCCTCTTCTCTCCAGCCCGTGCTTTCCAGCCCTCAGGCACTGGGGGCTGCTGTGTGACAGGCAGTGACAAGAGACTTCCGAGCTTGGCCTGTCTCAGCTTGGCCTCCTGTTAGCAGAGCCAGGCTACGTCTGTGTCAGGTTTAGATACTTTACGGGTGTAAGGAACCAGGATGAATTATACGTAATGAATAAGCACGATGTTGGGTGGTGTATAGTCGTTGCTGTACGATTTTCAAAGGGAAGCAGCTTGTTGGAGGTGGCGGACCTGGCCTTTGAAGGAGTGGGATGTGATAGGCCATAGGAAGGTCTTCGGGGGAAGGGAGGAACACGAGGACGATTTGAGGCTGGGGTGAGCATGAGCACCTGGGAGTCCGGTGTACAGGCAGTAATGACAGTGCGGGGGACAGCTGCTGGGGTGGCGGTCCCCGCTCCTGCCACAGGGGTAGGGCCGAGTGGGAAGAGCTCCTGAGAGCTAGCTCTCCAGCCATCTCTGCCAGTTACTACATTTGCTCTGTCGCCATGAGAAGGCCCATTTTTTAAAGACTGTTCATTTTGACTCTTCTCTGGGAGTTTTGAGATTCCTTTTTGAGCCAGGTTTAGTGTGAAAAGCCCGCAGCTCATGCCTGACTAATTGGGGGCACTCTCACGCGTGTCAGCTTGAAGGAAGACGAGGTAACGTTGGAGAGTTATCCCTGGTCCTGACCTCCTGCCCCGTGGCCTCCTCGTCACTCTGCGGTGCTGCCTTGGAGGAAGCCTCAGGGATGGAAGCTCTGGCCTCTCAGGATGGTGACCTGGGTCCCAGCTCCCCTGGAAGGGCCTCCTCATGGTGAGTAACTGCCGAGGGGCTAAGTCGGCCTGTGTTTCTGAAATACAAATTCCAAGCTGCCGGCCTCATGTGACTTCCTCCTTTAGGTTGTTCTGGGGCTGTTCACGGATGCTGGCGTAGCAGAGTGAAGAGGGGTGTTGCCGCCGATCATCACCAGACCTCCTTCTCCTGTTGCCTTAGCACGGTATGGAAGGGCTTTGTCCCTGTGAGCGGGGCAGAGGGCAAGTCCTGGGACTCTGGGGACTTGGGATTCAGAACTGGAGACCTTCAGCTGGCTCTGCCCTTCCCAGCAGGTGCCACAGAGCACCGTGGACCCAGAAGTCTGCTTTCCTTCCGTCTGGACCAGGTCATCCAGTGGCCTCCGTGTCCCCTTGTCTGCTCCTGGTGTAACTTTAGAAACAAGAGTTCCCATTGGAGTCTTTTGTGCTGGGCATCGTGTCCTCTAACCCACTTCAATAAATCTTGAAACTGCCTTGCCGCCTTTTATGGTTTTTTCTTTTTTTAATACTTGCTTCCATGTGCACAGCTGGGTATAGAGACAGTGGGTCACAGGGGCAGGTCTTCCAGGTTTCAGTCATTGAGATTTTCCACTTAGCACACTCCTGAGGCCTGACCTAGGGATGGGGGATGGGATGGAGACTTGACATGGGGTTGAATAATCCCAGGTGCTTCTGGGGGCTCAGGTTTAGCAGAGATGGGAATTGTTGGCGGAGGAATGTTTGCTCCAGGGCTTTGGAAGAGAGGATGAGGGTGCGGTGGATGTAGAGACAGTCAGGGGCTGAAGTCCTCGAGGAAGCAGGAGCGCCTTGGGCTCTGGGGGTGAAAGTACACGGGGTGGATTTGGGGAGATGGTTTGGAGCAGGGCTGGAAGAGGCATGTATGAGGAACAGCTGCCCTCGGGAGAACTCTGGGGGTGTGGTGGGCAAAGGCCAGGTGTTGGGGTTACTGGTACAGTAACAATAACAGCAGTGGTGCGCTTCACCACCCTGTGGGTACATGGTACTCTGCTCACCTTTCAGGTGTCATCCACACAGGGGAACTCTCCCAAAGGCCCTGGTGAGAAAGGAGGAGTTCGCTGTCCATTCCTTCCAGTGACGTTGAATCACCTTGACTGGGGCTGAGGTAGAAACCAGGTGGTCAGGCCCACCTTTGTGAGGTCAGCAAATTGCTGGCTTCTGTCAGTGGGAGGCATTCTTGGGCCTGGAGGGTCCACGCTGCCGGGCAGCCGCAGCAGAGGTCCTTGTTTCTGCCGTTCCCCTCTCCTCGGTACCTGCCCAAGGGCCACGTGAAGTCTCCCATTTGCTCTCTTGAAGGACCCCCACCTGCTCTGACTCCTCTCTGGGCCAGTTTCATCCCACCGTGGCCCTAGTCCTCTAGTGAAAAAGGAGCACATGTCCGCCCACTTAGCCAAAGCCCCTTCCTTTCCAGCGAGATTTTGCTGCTGGTTGTTGCCTCGACACTTGGAGCCCTCTTTCTTTAACACCAACTGTTCCCTCATTGCTAAGCAACTTCCTGTTAGCTTTTGGTACCAGTGTCTATGCCCCATTCCCCTCCCCTTTATTCTGTTTATTCTTTCATGGTTTTCTGGACCCCCCCTACCTCAATCCTATAGCCTGGGGGTCCTTGGTGCCATTTTGTCTGTGTCCTGTAGGAGGGGGCGGCGATGGAGCACTGGAGAGGGGAGAGGCACGAGGTGCTGTGGTTGGTGAAGTGGGGGCGGGGAGGGGAGTCACAAGCCTACGGAGGTGTGATCTCTGACCGTGGCTTGGCCCAAGGGCACCAAAATTTCCTTCGTAATTCGCCAGCCTGGTCCGGAGGCATCACTCATTCCTCGCCCTGTTTCCGTGGCATCCTGGTATAATGACTGGAGGTGGGGGTGGGTGAAGTAATGCATTAGAAGTGCAGGTTGCACCACCCTGCCTGCCTGCCCCGCACGTAGCACTCAGTAGAGGACAGCGCTTCCTGGTCGTTAACCTGTTCACTTTCAAATTATAAATGATGCTTGCCCCTGACCCAGCCTCTTAAGTCTGCCCTCCCCTGCCCTCTGCTACCCTCACCCACCTGACCCTCAGCCCCAGCTTAGGCTTCCCACTCGCCAGGGTAGACACGCAGGGCCCTCCCCTGTGACCATGGTCTACTGTCCACCCGCATCTCACACATCACACCCCACAAGCACCATAGGCCCCAGCCGTGCTACGACATAAGGTTCCTGAGCATGCTGCCCTTTTCCTGGCCTGCGTTTTGTGTGCCTGGAACGCCCCTTCCATTTCAGATGCTCGCCTGACTCAGCTTGTGTCACTTCCTGTAGGAAGCCTTCACTGCTAAACCTCCACCCAGACTGGATCCCCTGCCCTTCCTTCCATTGACATCAAGTTCAATTTTGGGTAGGCACAATTCTAGGAAATGATCAATAAAAGAAGGCAAAAGAGCAAAAACCCCTGCCTTTATGCTGCTTCCATTTTAGAGGACAGGGACATACCATAAACGAAGTACTGAAATGTCTAGTGTGCTAGAGAAGAACTGAGAAGAAAAATAGTCAAGCAGAGAAACAGGACAGGAAGTCTGGGGACAAGCAGGGGGCGTGGCCTTTGAATCTGTAGATGGAGAAAGCCTCACCTAGGAGGTGTGATTTGAGTAGAGGGAGGAGCTCTCACCTCTGGGCGTTCACGGCAGCCTGTGCAGTCTCCATCACGGCACGGACCAGCGATGGGAGGAATCTTCCCTCTGGGATACCAGGCCCAGGGAACTGGGGGGACGAGACACCTCTGAGGCCTCTTCAGGGCGACGGCTAATTAGCAACGTCTGCCATGTGGTGAGGGCAGCAGCCTAATCAAGTTGGGATTAGCTAGTCAGGCCAGGCTGTGCACGTCTGGAGGGCAGGCTCTGTATTGTCAGCGCGCAGCCCCTCGCCCCACCCCCCGACCACAGCTCGGTGGACTCGGTGCCATCACCCATGGGCAGGCCTAACCCATGACCTGGTCTAGGACCAAGAACAGTGCTAACCAAGCCAGGCGTGTTTTCCTCTTGGGGAGTTCTTAGCGTGTCAAGAGCCTGAGTGATTGGTTGCAGGAACAAAACCAGGAAGAGATGGAAGAATTAAGTCCCTTTAACAGCAGAGTCCAGAGGTGCAGAGCATTGAGCTCCTGTTGTAGGCAAGAGAACCATTTCTAGAATGTTTACAGGGAGAGGATGAGATTCCAATTTCCAAACCATGTTTGTGCTGCTATACAAGGCCTGGCTATGGAGTCTGAGCAGCACTTGCTACAAGGCCTGGGGTTCAGTTTTCCCTGAATTCTTACAAGCATGGCCAAGTGACCAAAATTCTCGTCTTCCTTTTCTTTCTAAGAGAAGTTACATACACCATCACTGTACCATTAGTAGAGAGAGCTAAATGAGTCTCTGCTCATAACAGCCTACAGGGTATTACTTACCAGTGTAGTGGCTGACACAGGCGAGGAGCTCAATCTGCATTGAAGGATGAGGGATGAAGCCAGTGGTGGCCTCGACCATGGGTACCAGGAATAGTTCACTGAGGCCCCTCTGCCCCCATGACTACAACTGGCATGTCACCAGGATACCTAACTCGGCCTGCATTAGGAAGCGACCTAGAGAAACCTTTAAGAGCCTGTTGAATTCTGATGTCCCTTAATTGCTGTGGGGCCTGGAGCACATTCTTTTGCCTCCTTGAGCCTCGGTTTCTGGCTCTGTAGTTTGACCATCAGAATAGGACCTACCACGAATAGTAATGATGAAATAAGATGATGCTTGTTAAATGCATAACACAGTACCTGCCTCACACTGGGTGCTCTGTACACATCAGCTATTTTTATTCAGTGAGCATGTCTAGCTTGATAGTTAAAATGAAGAACAAATATAAAATGTCATTATGACAGACTCATCAGTCATCTATTAACGTGACACCGTAAATACTTCTTTGCAAATTTGCAGACGTCCCAGTGGGGCTGGTGTTAATCATCCCTACCATTGATTGAACTTTTATTAAATTGCATGCACTGTACTAAGTGAGCCTGTATATATAATTACTTCACTTAATCTTCACAACAACCAGTGAGGTAGACTTAATTATTCTCCATTTTATAAATGAGGAAACCAAAGCTCAGAGAAATGAAGGGACCTGTCTCCCTTCCAATGAATGGTTCAGCTGGCTTACCATTTCCTGGTGTATCAAGTAGTGAAAAATGTTGCAGGCTGATTTCATAAATAGCACAAGCATACGAGGCTGTCAGATGCTTGTTTGTACTGGGAAACTGGAAATTAGGATATTTTACTATTCCCTCCATCTGTTTCAAATTATGGCCTATTATCCAGTCTTCCTAAAATACTCCCCATCTAGATCACCAGTCTTGAGGACTGAACTTGTGAACCTGACATGTACAGAGACGATAGGCATGTTTCAGCCAACGCCAAAGTATCAAGTGCGCATCTCATTACGGCTGTGTCTGCGGCAGGAGTCATCCTAGGTCTCCTAAGCTTGAAAAAACCTTGGCAGGGTATGACCGAGGTGGCCCAAGAACCAGGATTAGGGTCAGAAGGGCTATGATCCTATCAGCAAGTTGGTGCCTGGTACCAGAGGTGAGGCAGCTGGTGGGAGTTTTATGTATAGTATAATCAAGCCAGGAGAACGGCCATCTGGGAGAATGAAGGTTTATTTGTCCATGCAAAAAAGATTTGTCAGGCACTGTGCTGCGAAGCAGGATCTGCCCTCATGGGGATCACATACAGGTATATACATAATAAATTCTATTTCCAGATATTTATGGAACAGTCACTACGTGTGGGCCTTGCTCTAAGCTGTGCACACAATCCTGAACAAAGCTGAGGAGGGGCCTCATGGAGTGTACAGTCTAGAACAGCACTGTCCAATATAAACCCATACATGTAATTTAAAATTTTCCGGGCTTCCCTGGTGGCGCAGTGGTAGAGAGTCCACCTGCCGATGCAGGGGACACAGGTTCGTGCTCAGGTCCGGGAAGATCCCGCATGCCGCAGAGTGGCTGGGCCCGTGAGCCATGGCTGTTGAGCCTGTGTGTCCGGAGCCTGTGCTCCGCAACGGGAGAGGCCACAACAGTGAGAGGCCCGCGTACCGCAAAAAAAAAAGGAAAAATTTTCCTACTAGCTGCGTTAAAGAAATAAAAAGCAGATGAAATACATTTTAGTAATATGGTTTTATTTGATTCACTACATCAAAAAATATTTTCATTTCAACATATAATTAATATAAAAATCATTGAGATGTTTTATATTTTTCCCCCAAACTAAATATTTGAAATCTAGTGCACATTTCATGCTTATAGCACATGTTGGTTATGCTTACAGCACATGTGGCTGGTGGCTACCTTATTGGACAGCACACAGATCTAGATGATGAGGGGTTCGAGGCTAATTCCACGAAAGAAGAGTGTTGCAAGGATGCCTTCTTTACAGGAAGGCTGCTGCATCTGGTACAGAAGCT